TCAAAAAAAATCAGTTATTCACACAGTTCTCATGGTCAGACCTTTGACCACGTGTTTGAATGTGAACTGGGTTAACATTTTCAAAGGGAAGTTAGGGCAGGGAGAAAGGGATCAGTAAGCATTCTCTCCCTCTGTCTCCTTTCTCTCCTCACTTATCATTCATGTCAGAAACTACTGTAAACTATATACAGAAGCTAATATAATATGTTGACTCAAAGTTTTCCAAACTTGAAATTTCAAATGAAAGATAGAAACACTAACAAATGCGAAACAGCCTAAGCCAAAAGTAGTGATCCTTCTTGAATTCTGCAGAAAAGCAAAAATGAGAGGTGCATAATGTTTACTAAATAGTAAAAAAAAAAAAAAAAAAAAAAAAAAAAGTGAGCAAAATTTTCAGACTCTTTTTTTCATAACTTTTATATAACTTAATTCTTTACCCCAATATAGCCCGTTAGAGTGCATGCCTTTATGCAATCCATATTAATTGAACGTGGCCCAAACCAAAACTGCATCAAAGTGTATAGGATTGTGATGATTTGACCTTTACAGATAGACCTTTCTCTGTAAGAGTCTATACCAAAATCCAAAACTTCTGATCTAAGCGTTAGTACTTCCTGCTCTAAGGCGGGGTTCTTTTGGTACTAATATTTCACATCAGAATAATAATTGTTGTTAGTTTGTTTCAGAAACATTCTTGATATCAAAGTCCTGGTGTCATTTTTATCAAAACTTACCTTAGAGCTACACTTGTACAGTGGATGACTGATGGAATCAACATAATGATGCCTCATACAGCGACCTGGGTCTGAATCAATCATAAACGAACTGTCTGTTTTACTGTCTGTGTCTCCCATTATTGCCAGAAGGGAGAGCATGGAAATTGAAGCTGCTAGTACCTGGTTTCCCATTGCTGAAGAATTTCTCAGTAATAACAGCAGAGGGAGGTAGAGTATTAAAAAACTTCTAAATATTGAAACCCAGTTCTTTTCAAGGAAGGTGAAAAACCTGGTTTAAGTCTCTTGGTTGTCATTGTTCTTTTTAAGTTGGAGTTTTGTTGAGGTTGTAATCCATCAAAGAATCTTCTACATGGCTGGAACAAAAATGACATCAATTACAGTCCTGACCCCCCCAAAAAAGCCTGCAAGATAAAAACAGACATAAATAAGGCTCATAGGATTTCTGTTAGCCAAAATATTATTCATTGAGTGAACATCATTTTCACTGTAAGTACAGCATACGAGATTATCAAAAAGAAGGTCAAGGCCTTGTGACTTTAAGCACTGCTCTATCATTTTAATAATGATGATAATATTAATTTTCATTATCACAAGCGCTGTAATGCCAAGGCTTTTTACTTTATAGTGTCTCAGTGGGTTCACTTCAATACCAATGATTTGCAACACAACTAAGGATTTCTGCAAATGAAAGAACCTGCCTTTACTTAAAATGCTGAAGGGCATGTTTTAAGGGTTCTGCATTCAAAGATGGAAGTTCTGGCTCTGATGTGAAAATGTATTTTGGTGGTCTCATCCTAATCTCTAGTGCTCAGACATCCACATCAACAAGCCATCACACCATATGGTCAATCTCTTCTCAAATACATCCCAAGGATGCTTTGGGAATACATATCTGCAGATGAAGTCACACCTCATGGCCATCTGGATTTCTGGTGTATGTTGGGAACTGGGAGCAATCTAGGGTAACTATACGTCCTATTTTGCCAAATGATGACCAAAAGCTGAGGGCTTGGCAACATCAGGTTGCCCAACAGACACGTGACAAAATTTATTTAGTGATGGACATTGGGGGAAAAATGTGTCATTTAGTCATTCGGTTTTTTGAAAAATTAACATGGTCATCAACATTTTTACCACAGACATTTGTGTCTGTGTTAAAAATATGTTGCTGACCCCTGAAAATGTCCACTTTTGTCAAAAACGGAACGGTGTGGTATGGTATGGGGGCCAGCAGAGTTCAAGTGACCAGTGCCAGCCTTAAACAAACAGATGGAGGGAGGGTGGTATCCTGTTTTCCCTTTGGGAAATATGGTCACCCTAGAGAAATCCACTGGACCCGAGAACACAGAACCACCATCAGAAGTTCAGAACTATTTGGAGCTCCCTTCTTACATTCCCCTAAATTTCTCCAAGACTATTTCTTGAAAAGTCTACTATGGAGCCAATAGTCTTGAGTGGGCTATTTAACTTTAAATTTACTACAGATATAACCTGATGGAGCTGTAAATTATTGGACTCAATGTAACTTTAGACAACAAAGGAAGCTGGAAAGTAGCATTAAAACAGATGAACTTTCCAAACAGACATAGCTGATGTGATAAAAAAAATTCTCACAGAACTTGTTGCCTATTTGATATTCTATCATGTGTTTTATTGCCTTTCTGCTTTGCTGGCAATTTTGTTTTCTTCAATATGAAATACAATTGAAAGGTTTTGAAACTGCAGTAGTCTGAGTTTTGTGTGTTGTCTTAGAGCTTGCCCTTACACTTCTGTAAAGAAAGGAGAGTGCATAACTGCAGTAAACTGTTCCAGAGTTTATATAAGTTTGGAGCTAATGTTTTTCAGGCTTAATCCAGACACATGAAGTCTCTTCCTACACAGAAATGTAATTCTAAAATGTGAAAAATATTAGTTAAGCTATTCTTGTTTTAGATGTATGGCCGAAAGTGGTTTTGTTTTTTTTTGTTTGGTTTTGGTTTTATTTTGTTTTTTCATTTTTTGCTTTCAGAGCCTGGATTGCTTGCTGATAAAGAAAAGGAAAAATAGCTTTAATGTAA